AAAAAAATGAGTAAGTATGAATAAATGAGCCAAAAGATAACTGGAAAGGGGATTGCCCTAATGCAACAAAAGTTGAACGCACGTGATTGTCATGTCCATGTTTTCTTGATACGAGACCAGTTTCCACGATAAAGTGGGCCTAAAAAATTTAGGCGCATTTGTTGTTTAGGCACTGAACATCCACATCTTTTACTTAATTACAAACTTACCATAACTAAGATACTACCTACAAGAATTGATTAGATAAGAGACCATCACATATTTTGACGTCCATGAAACACAAAACGGTGGTCGGTAGAAAGTACTAAGAACAGAAAGAAACGACAGTTTAGATTTACAATGTGGTGTAGTGGTGAAGCGATGATCAAGCAGGGACCTTACCATCTAAGAATGGATCGAGCCGCGCAGGAGATATCATCGCGTTTTGTCTTTGTCGACGATATTCATCTTCACGGTCAGCAACGGTTGGCCTACGCAGTTGGACATCTAAGAAAGGGAGAGTAAGTGGAAAATGTGACGAACCGGTGTTGGTAGCCATATTGAGGAAAGGCGGATCGCGCGCCGGAACGGAAAGCGCTCGTGCAGATTGACCAAAATATAATTTCTTGCTTGAACTAAAGCATTTTGTTTTTTTGAAATATTTTGAAATATCAAATAATAGAATGAGCAGTTTATTTTAAATCATTTTTATCTTCGTCTTTCGCGGGCTCGTCTCTCCGCCTGATGACCCGTTAGTCATTGGTCTTTTTAATTTTTTAGGCGGTAACCAGCGTGAACTTGCTAGGGAAAAAGCGGTAAAAAAAGAAAAGACAAAGGCAAAGAATGCAAGTGAGCACTCTGGAAACAAGGGTTTGTCTCTGATAGAACGCCGCGAGCGGTAAGTCCCGCTTCCGTGACCTTGCCAATAGAGACGCCGCAGCTCTTAAGGCGAAGCAGAAGGCCAAAGCACCAAATTCATGATTATCCCAAATTGTATGGTACCTCACCTCAAACTTCCTTTGTGTTTAATCTTTCTGAGCATTTAACTTCAATTTTATATTCCAAAGATATGACATCTAACGCCAAAGTATTTTACACTTCTCTTCAATTGTTTTTCTCGACCTCACTCTTTTATCAAGCCTTTTGGAATTTGATCCTTTGATATAGAGTCAGATTGGCGTTCAGTTATTTGTTCTTTATT